CAAATTGATGTCTCTCGAATTTAGAGACAAGAAAATCTAAATCTTGCATGCCTTAGAAATGGTTCCCTTCCCTGACAGTACCTGTAGACACTGTAGGTTTTATGGCTATGGACAAAATGAAGACAAGATTAAAAATATTCATTACAGCACAAATTTTGACATTTGCAGATTCAGGGCTGTTCTAAAATGACATCAGTCTTTTCATCTTCCTCTGCCACCTCAAATATGCAGAGGAATATACTTTGACCTGAAACAGACTTCAACTTCATGACCTTAAAAATACTCTGACAGGATAAAGCTGGCAGGATCCATGTGGTAGTGCAGTTTTAACCATGTGAACAGCAGTATGGCTTTACTCTTTGGAGACATCATCTCTTTTTCAATAGGAAAAGATGACTAAAACCCTAGTGGTGATGTACCTAGAAGAATTGGGAGAGCATCCAAGAGTACTTCAGAGATGTCTCTCTTTAGTCTGAGTCCAGCACCATGCTTGAAGTAATATATTCCCCCTCTGAAAGGGGTTTAGAGCTGAGGAGCTCATGTATATTCACTTCTGTCTGTGGAGAATGCCTTCTGTTAAATGCCATTTGATGCCTTCTGTTGGCTTGGTCAAACAGTCAGGAGTGCCGAAACCACTGCACCATGTTTAAAACTGCACATCTTCTTTCAAATAACGCAGTTCAATGAAGGACATAACTCTGTACTTAAGACCATCTCCTCTGTTCCTCATGGCTCTTTGTCCTGGGTTCAGCTACAGCAGTCATTTTTTCTCCTTCTCAGTAGCTGGTGCAGTGCTGTGTTTTTGACTTTCAGTCTGGGAACAACGCTGATAACACCGATGTTTTTAGTTGTTGCTCAGTAATGTTTACTCTGACCAAGGACTTTCTCAGTCTCATGCTTTGCCAGAGAGGAGGGGAAGCCGGGAGGAAGCAGAGACAGGACACCTGACCCAAACTGGCCAAAGGGCTATTCCACACCACAGCACGTCATGCCCAGTATATAAACTGGGGGGAGTTACCTGAAAGGCCCAGATCGCTGCTCGGGTCGGGCTGGGTATCGGTCAATGGGTGGTGAGCGGTTGAGTCCTCTCCTCTTGTTATTCCTCTTATCATCATTATTGGTAGCAGTAGTGGTTTGTATTATACCTTAGTTACTGGAGAGCTGTTATCTCAACCCATGGGAGTTACATTCCTCCGATTCTCCTCCCCATCCCTCCGGGAGCGGGGGGAGGAAGGAAGAGGAGGGGAGTGAGCGAGCGGCTGCGTGGTTCCAAGTTGCCGGCTGGGCTTAAACCACGACACTCTTCATGAGGACTTGCATGATTCCCCTAGTTTGATAGTCTCTGTAACACAGGTAGGAGCCCTTGCTTCAGCAATTTGTGTCACAAAGAATGTAAGCGGGTGCTTAAACATCTAGTAAGGCATCCAATGGAGAGTTTGCAGAGACCTTTGCTGAATGGAGGCCTTAGTATTTTGCACTGCTCAAGTACCTTTCTTAGGTTTGACAATATTTAATTGAAAACTCCAGATATTACTAAGTTAATTACTAAGAGAAACTTAGTTGAGAACTACCCAAGGTCAATCTGGAGCTGAGTTAGCATGCAGTGTAACCACTACAGCTTCAGCCTATAAAAAGAGAGGATATGGGAAAATTTCTCTCTCTTGCCATCCCCAGGTATAGCTCTGGTCTTCCCACTTTCCATTCAGGCAAGCCTCTACTATTTTTGCTTTCACACCAAGTTATAAAAAGACTGAGAGAACATGAGGAATAAAAAGCTTATGTTACAATTCCATCCCATAGTCACACATACACACAAAATTTCCCTTTCTGATGTGGAAGCCTGCCTGATGCCAACCATTTACTTGAGTATTTTTCATTGCAACTGGGCATGCAGTGGACCGTTTCCCTCTCCAGGGAAAAAAAGCCAAAGCCAAAAACCAAACAAATAGAATTAAAAAAAAAGAAAAAATCAAACCAAAGTAAATTCAACATCCTTTCAGTCGGTTTTGTGAACTGCCCTCAGCTATTAATTTACCAACATTCCTCCAGACAGTGGCAGTTGCTTCAGCACGACAGGCTATGGAGTGAGCTGCTCCACAGCAAGCGTGAACATACCCTGCAAAAGCATCTTGCAGAGCCACTGAGGGCAACATTTAAAAGGATGCTTAAAAGTTAAGACAAGGTACAGCATCTTATTTAAAAGTGAGAGGATCCATAGCAGCCACATTTATTATACAGGTCAACGTAGGCTGTCTAACTATTCAGCTGTAAGAAATTGCCCTTATCAAAGGCGTATCACTGCCTTGTGATACGAGAAAATATTATGAGTGTTTCATGTGTGTGTGACATAGGTTATATGGATTTCTGTATGGAAGCATAACTCACTTTTCAGTCTTTTAAACAGGCTTATAAAAAAATTAAAAATTGCTTTTTGTTTGTGTGGAAGAATAATGATATTGCTTCCCTCCTTTGGGTTTTAAAAGTCCTTCTGGTCTGGGTGACTCTGATGTTAGAGTTTGATGAGGCTGCATGCACCAGGCTGGAATTCAGTTTCAGGAGTGGAAGATAAAAGCCTGTTTCAGGATTGTTTCACATTAATGGATCCCTGTTCTGGCATGGAGAACGTAGATTCCTGATCCTTGCCTTTTGGTTTCTGGTGGGGATTGTTTGCTTCCCAGTTTTGATTTTTATTTATTTATTGTAATTTATGGTAACAATTCTGAAACATGCTAGATTAGCAGCCCAGGAGACTAGTGTCACAAAATGGCATTCTGAGTTACTCCACAAACCTACTCTGCTGGGATTATCTCTAGGCAGGAGAAGAGTTTAATCAGGTCTGTCAGTTCATTAGCGTTTCCCTTCTGAGGCAGGCACAAAGGGTCCCACTTAGTGTCAGTAGTGTTGGTAACTCTTCTGAAATAAATACAAATCCAGCTCATTTTAAATCAGGCCACTGAGCAAGTCATAAGCTGCTGTAAGATGTCATTATCATGTGAGGCTGAAGCAGTTCTTTTGACACCACAGCATTTTGATATAGTTGACCTTTCCCTGAAGACTTCTCAATTTTATCTTTCTGCTTTTTATGGGTTTAAATACAAAAGCTCACAATGTGGGTTGTGCAAAAGGCTCCTGAGGCAATCTCAACAGCTACCAATGTCCTGTGTGCTTGCTGACAGGAGCACCATTCCTCACTACACCTCTGCTCCTCACTGTAAGGAAACCCAGAGGAAGGTGACAGCAGATTTTCCAGAAGATTCCCTAGTCCTCCTAATGACTGGGAAAGCCAGGGCTGCACCTTGGAGGACACCTTTACAGTGCAACTGTGTCAGCCTCAAGAAGTTGTCACTTTCTATCCGCTGAATACCAAGCAAGTTGATGAAATGACCACCTTTCTTCTGATAACATTAGACCTTGTGACTATCCACTTGTTGGTCTAGGTCACCCCACTGATTCAGTCTCTCAAAAGAAAAGCAGAGTTAATTCTGACCCTTTCTCTGTCACGACAGGGAGACCTCCAGAGATCCCTCATTCAGGTGGATTTTGGAGATGGCATCGCTGTGTCATATGCCAATCTCAGCTCGACAGAAGATGGGATCAAGCACATCTACCAGAACGTGGGCATATTCCGAGTGACCGTGATGGTGGAAAACAGCCTGGGTTCTGACAATGCTGTCCTCTACCTGCATGTAACATGTATGTATGTTCATACTTGTTGTTAGCTGCTGTCATTAGAGATGACATCTGGGGCTTTGCAGCTGGGAGCAGAGTGGTGCTGTATGATGAGTGCTTGTCTGTCCTCCAGGAGAGAACTCCAGACTGAGAGGAGCCACAAGCAACAGTGACATTTGCTTTATAAACTATTTTTGGATATTCTAATTTGGGACACTTCAAAGGAGTGTCCAGCCCTTTCTGAAATGTGCCCTCACTAACATGTTTACACTTCCAGAAAAACAAAGACATTGAGGATCTTGAATCACTTTTAAAAGCCTTGACTTCTACTTTGTACATGTGTTTTGCCTGCTATTGAAATGCAACCACCTCTGGGATGGAAAACAGTACATTTCAGTCTTTCTGTTGTCATAGGAACCAAAATCATGGTGTTAAAGAGTATTACAAGAAAAAATATTATCTTCACATTGTTGTTGTACTGGTCTTTTTAACCTTTTTATACTTCAGCTGTCTCTGATTTACAACTGAAATGTATCTCAAGTCCTTGCATAAAAACAGCAATGTGTTCTTTCGTATTTGTTCCAGCACATGGTTATGAATGCAAAAGGGTCAACATATTATTGAAATGTTGTAACATCCCTACTGGATTTTGTTCGGAGCATCATTTTCTTTAGACAGTGTGTGTGTGTGTGTGGGGGGGGGTTGTTGATTTATGTTTCAACTGTGTGCTTCTGTGATAGATTCACTGGGGTGGGCGGGGAGGGAAAAAAGGGAAATTATAAAACCTGAAGTTATTATAACTGAAATACCACTTACCCTCTACCAAATTAACTCCGTATACTGTCTAGATAATTTAGCACATTCCATATATTTTAACTCCAGTTTTGGAGTTACTTGATACAGCATGAAAGCAGATGCCTCTTCAGTGGAAGAGGGCAGCTCTTTAACAGTGCACTGTCATATCAACAGATGGGAGCAGTGGGAGGTATAACTGTGGGAGATGGGAGGTTTAATGAGGGAGCACTAGAGAAGCAGGAGCACGTATCTCCCTGAAGGCATCCCTTCAGAAATACCTTTGGCTGGCAGGTGTCCAGCCTTCACTCTCACTCATAGTGGCTTGCTGGTTTATAGCTGGTTTAATCCATTTTCTTGAGACATTGGAAGCTTAAGAACCATTTTGATTGTTTAAGCAGTAGATGAAATAAATAGTATTCGGGCATGTTCGAGTGACTTAGCAGCTGATAGCATGTTTTTCTGTATTTTGAATAGGTAATGCCAGCATAAGACTTAAATACTGCGTGATCATTGCAGCCAGGCCCAGATTACATGTGCCTAAGCCCCTGCGGAAGTGACAGCTTCAAGGGCTATGTCTCACCTTCCTTTACATGATAAGAATTAGGGACTTCAAAACAGGTTGCAGACCAAGCATATTGTCACTCAGACTAGCAATAGATTGCCTCAGGGCAAAGATGTACAGTAAATCCAAACCCTCCAGAGCCTAACACCTAGATCTGCAAATTTTCTAAATCCTGTTTAAATGCTTTCATTGCCACTCAGCTCTCTGCTTGGGGTGTATGAGCTTAGCATTCGGGAAGTTTAGTATAAATATCTGTCCTTATAATAGACACACACACTGTATTACTAATATCCACAGAAAAGCAGTGTGCAGCCTGAACATCCAGAGTTTGGGGAAGGGCTGCTAACTACGTAACACCTTGTTTCAGGGTTAATACATGAGTATGTGCAGCCAGATCTGTGCCTTCCAACACCCTTCTCTACCTGTGGCCAGTAGCCTTGCTGAGGGGAAAACTGCAGGCACTGAACCCCACAGTGCTTGTGATCTCAAACGTAAGAGTAAAGCCTTCATCCCTTGCCCTCCTCATCCTGCTGCTGCTGCAGGGCCAATGCCTTCGCTGCACTTGGTCCAGGGATACAGAAATGCAGGTTATTGGAAGGCAGGAGTATTTTGGGTGGATGGAAAGTAAATTCTACATAAATTGCTTCTCCAGCCAATCCTCTATCTCTGGGCTGTCCTAACAGGTCAAAATTTTCCCCTGGAAAGTTAGTTACACATTTGCCTGAATGCTTCGGAATATGGTGACCTGTCCAAACGAACCTCTTGAGAAGCTTCTCTTTTTCTGTTGTCTGGGATTTGTGTCCAGTTTTTTCCTGGGGCAGGTGAAGGTTTGTAATCTCCATAGCCCTGCATGAAGTTCAGAAATTAATTCTCTTCAAACTAACGTGGGAGAAAGCAGTCTTGCAGTCTTCTACCAAGTTAAGGGCCTATCCAGAGTGAGATATCCCCATCTGCTGGCCAGATAATAGTTCAACATTTCAGCCACTGCCCCATCGGCTCTGTGCACAGAAATAGTTAGATTTGACTTCCTTGAGCCGTTCTTTCATGTTCTTTCCTAGCTGACATATGGTGAAGGTCCAAGGAGATGCTGGGAACCCTCTGCAGTGCAGGATCATCTGAGACATGTTCAGAGCAGTTATGTTGAAGAGTATCAGACTTTACATGGGCTCCATTGTCACTACTGTCACTGCATCCAGTGTTAGGAAATGTACTCCTTTAGAGGACTGTGCTGACACTGGGCATTTGGTAAACACCCCAAAGGATACCAGAGCTGCAAAATGTCTAGCCTGGGAAACTGCTGGGTTTTAGGTCTCAGAGTCTTGCTGAAAGCAGGCACAGCCTTGTCATGGAAATGTTTCTGAGCAGGGGGATGCCATTAAAATCACAAGGGTGAAATTCTGGCTCCTCATAAATTTTCAAGAAGAGTGTTGACTGCTGATTAGAAAAGAGAAAATGAGCCATGGTCTGGTTTATAGCAGGCTTTAGTTAGTCTGATCATGGATAACTCTTAATTGGGCTGCTTCAGGTTAAGAAGTGGCTGCGTCTACAACCCAGAGAAAGCTGCATTTCAGTAGTAAGTCAGAAACACTGGTCCTTGTTTATGTCTATACATTGTTTACAGTCTGATTTGGGAAAATGTTTTCATCTCTCTCTCTTTCTGTCTATGTGTGATGTACAGAGGTATAGGGTGCTTTCTTCAAAATAGGCAGTGTTCCTTTAGGTTGAAAAGCAAGGTCTAAGTGGCGATACGTGTATGGGATATGTCCTGAAAACTCCCCTCCTGAAATAGATAAAATCCTTTAGTAGTGCATCCCAACTCCATACGGACAGTCAATCCTCCCAGGCTGTGTTTTTTACTTATCCTCACAGGGGAGCTTGCAGATGTAGGACATGTAGGTGTGGCTTTAATTTGTTTAAGAAATCCATGTCCCCAGGGGTTTCTTTCTTTTTCTTTCTCTGTCACTCACGACAATTGCTTTGTTCTCTAAGTGAATAGTCAGAACACATTTCAAAATATAATCTATAGAACAAGATGTAACAACAAAGGCCCATCTGTCTCCAGAAGATGGGAAACGTGTAACCCTGGGCATAATGTCACTTGTCAAATGAATTATGTTCTCTTTATACTAAAGAAATTAAAGAGTTCATTGAGGAAAAGGAGGGAGTATAAGGTAACATTAAAATTAAGGCACTCAGTGAACAGCTGCCTTCAGATAGACATTTAGCTGATATAAACTAAATCACCGCTGCTGAAGTTCACCATATCATAACAATTTGCATCAGCAGAAATGCTTCATGTCCACTGAAGTGACTTCTCTTGCACATCCTTATGCCTTGCTGGTGAAGGCCATATTTACATAACAGGGCTCTGCCCCTGTTGTTTAAGTTGTATATAACATACCTGAGCGTATGACATTCATCCAAGTTTTTCAGGTCCAAGTACATGGGTAGCTCCTGTTCTATGAGGAACAGGTTTCAGCTTGCCTCTCTAGAAATGGTACCAAGCTGAAACATTAACTGCCATGCCCCACAATGATTAGGAGGACTTCTTTCCCCTAAACCAATGAATTTCCCCCCCGTTCCATTCTCCCCCAGGTTATTTCAGATGGAGGAAGGACTCACCTACTGCTTCTGTCTCTGCAGGCCCCTTGGAACATGTTCACTTATCTCTACCATTCGTCACCACAAAGAACAAGGAGGTCAATGCCACAGCAGTACTGTGGCCGAGCCAAGTGGGAACACTTACTTATGTCTGGTGGTTTGGGAACAACACAGAGGTTTGTATTCCCCAGGGACTGAGGACAGAATAATCCTGGAGGAGCATTCTAACTGAGGAGGGAGGGAGAGAGGGATCTGGGAATGCTTCTAAATAGTCATGCAAGAAAATTATAATCCAGAGACCAAGAGAATAATGCTTCTTTGGTATACCAAAGCTGGAATGTAAGAACTTCTTTGTGTTTGTTGCAGTTACTTAGCTGTAGGATTTATTGCCATTTCATGCAAATGGCCAATAGCTTTCTTCCTGCATTTTCATCAAGGTGGATGTAGAGAACCAAAACCTGGAAGAGTTTCTAGTATGTTTTCCCCCACCATCCCTTCTTCAATAGTAACAACAAATCTCAGGGGGTTGGGTGGTTTTTTTTAAGCAACTAACCTTTCAAACTGAAGCTGTTTTTATATCTGGAAGTGACTTTCCATAGCCCTAGAGTTTAAACCTCATTTCTCTGGTGACTAACAAGGGAAGAGACTGACATCAGTTCTGTGCCTCCCCTTAAATATGCTGAGCCCAATCCTGAGCCCCCACACTCTATGCTAAACCACATGTGTGAGAAGACCTAATTATCATGTGCTGCTGGTGGACAAAACAGTTCCCAACACACCTCCCTGTCTCTGGGCTCTGCTTGGAGAACTGTATGTAACACGTCCCACTGCCTCTATGCTTGCAGTGCAGGAAAATCTACACAGGCACTGTTACTGTTATTTTACGTATCTTTGTGGCTGAAGTTCCTGGAGACCTTAACTAGTTCTGAGGGTAGAGATTCACATGGATTTTGTAGAGCTGACAGGGACCTTCAACCACACATGGTTACCTTCTGTATAATGCAGGTCCAAAGGTTTAATCAGTACCTTCTCTCTATTTAACTCTTTATGAATAAGGTAGAACCTGACCTTTTTTTGGTGTTAATAATTCCCCTCAGATGATGGAGAATTCATTGCTTCTTTTTCTTACCCTCTCCCCAACTATTTCCCCACAGTTAATTATCCTGAGCATTGAACACATGCACTGTGTTTGTAGTCAGAATGTATTTAGCTTTGGTTTCAAGCTGTTGGATCTTGTTATGTCTTTGTTTGTAGATTAAAGAACTCTCTGTACTATCAGAAATCATCTTCCCCTGGAGGTACTTACAGGCTGTGATTGTCACCTTTTAACCTTCCCTCTGATCTGCTAAGCTCATAAGTGATCAGAGTTGGTCTAACTCTGTTCTTGTTGAAGTGAGAGTTTTACTACAGAGTGCAATGGCAACAGAATTTGACTTCATACTGGGTGCTTTGAAGATCTCACCCAGTTCATTAACAAGTGAAAACAGAAGGTAGGGCAGACTGCTGCAAGAGGACGCAGCTCATTGATAAACTGGTTGCATACCAAAGCAAGGTGAGGGGAACTGTGTCCTCACTAAACACTATAATTTTCCAAAAATGACACTCGAGGTCCAGATATAACAATCGAGAAATCTTAATTTGCCTCCTGATTCTGTCACAACCTCCCTGAGTTGTGACAGAACAAACAAGTGACTTAGAGCTAGTTCTGGGAAAGAAGTGCGACACCTGAGCAAGACCTTGTATTAGGATCTAGGCCTCCCTTGGGAGTCCAGCAAAGATGGACACTTTGACATGGGATCCAGAACAGCCAGCATGCTAAGTGGGAAGGAAATACTGGGATCTTAAAACTTTTCTCCTTTGGAAATTACAGGTACCTTAGTTTAAACTTCAGGAGAACATCCTCATCTGGATCCCTGTGTCCTCCTCAGAAAATTGGCTTCCAAGTCTCAGGAGCCCTTCTATGTCTGAAGTTTCCAAGCTGGAACTAACTCCCCAGCCCATCCCAATAGGATAGATAGGGGTTTTTTGCTTTTCATTTCCAGTCAAATTAACTTAATTTCTCTTTTTCTGATATGTTTGCAGCCACTGATCACATTGGAAGGGAGCATCACATTCACGTTTTCTGTGGAAGGGATGAATACCATCACTGTTCAGGTCTCAGCAGGGAACACAATTCTTCAGGACACAAAGACTATTGCTGTGTATGGTGAGTTCTACCCGCTTCATTTCATAATAGGATTCTCCATAGGCAAGAGCTAGAGAGGCAGGTTAGTTCACAGCAACGTGAGGTCTTTATTCCAGGATGCTCTGAGTGAGATGATAAGCTTGGTTCCAGTGTTATCAGTTCAGCATCACACCTCTGAAGGCCACTGACTGGAATTAGTCTAGACTGGGATGACTGCAGAACACTGATCTCCTTTCCAGAGCTCTTGCATCTTCTCTATTACTATTTGTTCATCCTTACATAACTGTCAAAATGTTAGGTTGTTTTGCAAGCTGGTTTTCCCCCTTTTTGGCCAGCAGAGGCCTCTTAACTCATGCAAAAGCTGCTTAGCTTGAAAGATAAGTCAGTGCTGTGTTCTATAGTTCTGTACAGAAATCTATACTGATTTGACACTGTACTCAGGCCTTGGAAGCAGTCAGGTCACACAAATATATAATGCAGATGGAGCTTAAGAACCACTGAGAATCTCAGTTTTAGCTTTTTATACTAAGCCTGTGGTTATAATGATCAATGCGGCACCTCTCTGAATAGCAACAGAGATTAAATGTGTTTTCCAAGGCTAGTCCTCTCCCACTTTTATCCTTGTCCCCTTCCAGTTTAGATTTCAAGTATTTGGGGCATGTCTATGAGAGTACAATCACAGCTTACTTTCACAGATCTTGCCTGCTTCAGAAGTCAAAAAGAAGGTAGCATTTACTTTATGTTCCCAACACAGTTCCCTTTCCGTTGCTGTTCATGCATTGAAGTAAGGAGTGATTACCTTTCTCAGTTCTGTGACAGTCAACCAGTGAATCTCTCAGATTCTCCAGATCTATCAGTGAACCTCTGGGACACACTGCTGGATTCTCTGACAGTCTGTGCATCACCTGCAGACTGATGAAGCAAAATCATGAGCTGCAGCAGGTTTCACTAGGTTTTGCCCATTCATTTAGCACTAAGGCATTTTACAGTCTTTACTCACCACCATGTCATTGTATCTGCAGAGAAATTTCAGTCCTTGCGGTTATCATTCTCTCCAAATCTGGATGACTACAACCCAGATATCCCTGAATGGAGAAGGGACATCGGTAGAGTAGTCAAGAGAGCTCTGGTGGAGGTAAGCAATATGCATAACCTGTGTTATAGTCATTCTAATTTCTGCTTTTTGCCTACGTTATGACTTGATCAACTGTTCTCTCAAGGCATCTCTCTGTTTCTACCAACTATGAAAGGAGACTCAGCTAGTGTTTGAGGCCAGAATGCTAAATTTTAGACAGGTTAAATTATCCCATCCTATGACAATCTGCTGCTCAGAATCAGCCTTCAATATGTTCTTTTTAGTTATAGCAGGTTATGTGGCTGAAGATTTGGATTTCAAGCTGAGAGGATAAAAAAAGTCAGAAGAGACAGCTGGGGTTTCTCAGCTCAGCGGAAAAAAGATAGTGAAAGGAACTCTTTGAAACAGGGTTTCTGTTTTGTAAAAATGAAGATACTCAGATTTGGAAGGGATACAAGGCTTCTAGCTATTATTAGCAAGCTTATATGTTCATTCATGGCATCATCTATCAAAAAAGACTGGAAAGATGCTGTGCACTAATCAGGTACACACACACTCATCTGGATTGTTTCAGAGATTTTTTTCTTCAGTTTCCTCAAAAGACAGAAGGTGAGGAGGAAAGCAGAAAAAAATTCTGGAGCTTGTTTTTATGACTTATTTATGTCTGTATCAAGTATTCAAGGATCTATTTATCTTCAGGATGAATTTTCAGAACATAAACAACTCAATAAAACAAAATCGAGCCATAAAAAAAAAAAGAATTACAAAACTACAGTACCAAGGCTACACTCCAAAAGCAGAGCAGTGAAAACAGTCTATTTGTTGTTTGAGTAAAAAAAATATAAACTTATATAATTGATAGCTAATTATCTCTCTATATATAGCTAAATGATTCGGCATAAACAAGCCTTTGTGAGAAGTTCCTGTAAAAATTAAAGATAAAACCAATAGATTTCTACAGCAATTAAGTAAACTGTATAAAAATGAGTTGAATAACTAAATAATTCAATAGGAAATTATAGCTGTGCTATAGAATTTTTATGAACTTTTATTAAAGTATTATATTCTTATTACAAAGTACCATAGACTTGGACAAAAATTCTGCATAAGAAATTACACTTCTCTACTAAAATCTGATCTTCTGTCTGTGTAGGGATGATTTCGTATTATCACAAAATATCCTATTTTGTATCATGATCATTATTATTTGCTCACATCATTGACTTTCTGAGTCTTGTCTTCCACTTTTAATGAATACACAAACAAACTGAGTAGATCAGCCAAAAAGCCTCCAAACCAAAAAAAGTAAAAAACATTCCCAGCCTCTGAAAAGGAAGACTTTCCATTAACTGGTAATACTGTGTCTTTTTCTTGACATCTTAGAACAACCTGTTAGGCAAGCACAAATAATGCAAGCCCTGGCTTCACAGAATACTTGGAAAGAATATATGAGACCTTCCTATTGTTATAGTTCTTTTTCTAAATCCACATTAAAAAAAAAATAAACAGCAACACCAACTGCTTTTCCTTGGTGTGCTATTGAGGGGAAGGGTTCCCTTTTCATAGCTCCACAGGGTATTCCCCGGACTGCCAGCAGTCACGCATGGGATGGCCACAGACTCAGCTCGGGTAATGGTGGTTTGTAATCAGTTTTGCTGCCTCCTTGTGCTCTATCCATTGTTTCCTTCAACAAGCAGCTGATACAAGTCTTTGCTCTTGAACCACTAGGGAGAAGAATTCATGAGATTTAGGTTCAGTTAATGTCTGAAAGGGTTGCAAGTCCTGACTGCAAGGGAATCTCTGTGATGCATCCAGCTGCTGTGGACCGTCTTTATAGAATCACAGAATCATAGAATAGTTAGGGTTGGAAAGGACCTTAAGATCATCCAGTTCCAACCCCCCTGCCATGAGCAGGGACACCACACACTAAATTATGTTACCCAAGGCTCTGCCCAGCCTGGCCTTAAACTCCTCCAGGGTTGGAGCATTCACAACTTCCTTGGGCAACCCATTCCAGTGCCTCACCACCCTCACTGTGAAGAACTTCTTCCTTATATCTAACCTAAAGTTCCCCTGTTTAAGTTTAAAGCCATTCCCCCTTGTCCTACCACTAGAGTCCCTAATGAAGAGTCCCTCCCCAGCATCCTTGTAGTCCCCCTTCAGATACTGGAAGGCTGCTATAAGGTCTCCACGCAGCCTTCTCTTTTCCAGGCTGAACAGCCCCAACTTTCTCAGCCTGTCTATCTGAGAACACTTTTTCTTTTCCTTTAAAAATGATCTACTAAATTCAGCACTTGGAAACAAGATTTAAATTGGAATCTTGAGATTTAAATGTGTTTGCTGGATAATCCACAACACAAAGAGTCAGTGGAGGAAGACTGAGTAAACTATGTTTCTCCTCATTTCAGCTCACAAAACTTCCTGAAGGCCAAACTAGCTCCTTTTCTGGAGAATAACTCTGCAACCTGGTCATGTAATATCATAGTAACAGTGGCTGAAACACACAGCCAAAGATGACCCTGGTAGTGATGCCTGTGGGGTACTTTTTTCTGAATTTTGGCTAATTTGTGTTGAAGGGAGGTTTGAGTTTACCTGGTTACTTAAGATTTTCAGCCAACAAGAGAAAAAAATAAAACTTTGCAGATTAATGTAATCTTTAACACTTAAGAAAAAACAAAAAAAAAAAGGTCCTAATTAACTTGTGGAATTGACCCAGGATCCAAGATGTGAACTATTAAGAATGTGTTTGCCTTTTTGGGATTTAAACTTGATTCATCATCTTCTCTCTCCCTGAGTCTCCACAAAGCTTTTAAGATGTTTTGGCTAATCATACCTCTAAAATGCAACTCTGCCCACATATTCTTGCCCTGTAATATGCTGTTTCTTACCATTGACTAAATGAAGAACCTCAGGGACTAACTTGGTATACTCAAGTAACTTTAAAATAACTAAATTTAGACAAAGCAAATCATACCTTATGCAACTGTTAATTACAAGTTCCTTATAGCATGCCTGATTATCATTGTTGCCTTAGGACCCTGCATATTTTACTGGAGAATGGTAAAATAGCTTAGATCAGGAAATCATTAATCCCTGACGTTTTACCTGCAGTGGATTTTAACAAGATTTTCCCTGTTGTACCAGATATACTCTACATCATTCGTATAAGTACTGTGATGCCTTAGCAAAAAAGCTGTCAGCATTCAGTGCCATCCCCACTGTTTATCTGTCCATTACTTGTCTATGTATCAGGCAACAGGTATTTCAAGCAAGCATATTCTGGTCGCAGTGCTCCCTGGTCTACCCACATCTGCTGAACTCTTCATTTTACCACATCGAGATGCCACAGCAGAAAATAAAAGAACATCAGCAGACCTAGAGCAGGTATTGTGTCCATTACTTGGGGAGTTGTGTGTTTATGCATTTGTGAAATAACCTCTCTTGGGATTTCCAAGCAAATGATTGTGGTACAAATGCCTCTGATTCACTGGGGTCTAAACAATGACTGTAATACATGCTCCATCCTCTCTGGGGTTTTTTTGTTAGTTTTTTTCTTTTGCATTATTTAATGGTGATTTTTTTTCTTCCGTACACTGGAAAAAGGTTTTGATGCTGTATTTAGGATTTGAGACTCCTATTTGGGTTCCCTTAGTAATATTAAATTTACATACATTTGTATGATATCATGTCCTTAGAAGTTTCATTCTACTTCATGGAAGTAGGAAGAAAGCAGGAAGGATTTAGGGGATGATTCCTGCCACCATGAACTGGAGTAGCCTCATAAAGCAAAGTTTATGAGTCTGTGAGGAGTCTAGAAATCACTGGACAGAGCTGGGTGGTAGACCTGGGCAGATCTGAATTTCATTACTTTAATCCACAGGGATGGAGTTGGATTATCTGCCTGCCCTCTTAACGATACTGGTAGTAGGGTTCAGCCACTATAAATTTTTTTCTCCTGCAAGGCTGAAGTGGGTTATGACAACTGGAGGAGTATTTGATCCTGCAGACACAAAAGATCCTGCCCACCAGGTGGGCCAAACTGTGCTGGTCAAAAATCATGGAATATCTCTTAGCTTATTACCTCAGATTCCAGGGGCAAAGATAACTAGCCTTACATGAAGCACCACTGGTTCTCTGCCTCTCTATACAGTATGTCCATGGCTCAGGCAAACATATCCCATGTTGGTATGGGCTATATGAGTACTGGTGTATAGGGTGTCATCAGCTCACTAATAACAGCCTCAGCGCTACAGTGAAATCCTCAGCATTACTGGATGCCTGCTGCTCCACTGGATGGTGCAAGGGTTGTAGCATTTCTCTTTGGATTTGTCCCTCAATTTGTGAATCAGTGAAGTCTTCCCATCAGTGCGTGTATCAACAGTATTTTCTCCTTTTTGTATTCTTGTCTTCTAATAGCCTTTTCATCTGCCTTACCTGTTACTGCCTGTTGTAGTGGTCTAAAGCCCTGTTAACTTAGCTGTGGGCCTAAAACCACTAGGTAACCCATATCCTTAAGCTTTCCCCTGCTCAGCATCCTTAGCCACCATTTTTTATTGACAAATGACTTTCCTCTGCAATTTTCACCACCTGTGTACTAAGCAAAAAAGATGGAGATTTACTGCTCTGCAAAATTTTTCCTCCCTTTTCTCCTTCATCCCCCTTCTCCTTTCCTCCATTACAAAGTGGTAAGGAAGCCTGTCTGCAAACTTTTGAATTTACATCTGACCCAGCTCCCCTCTGGCATTCAGCAGCTTATTGTATTTTGCCAATTACTCCCTCTCTTTGCCCCTTACTTTCTTCCCCTGTACAAATGGAGTCTCTGTGGCTGTGAAGAAAGGAAGCCCTGACAGTGGTCTCATGGCCCTTTTTATGGACAAGAAGAGATGTCACTTTCAGTGGGATTCCAGCAGCTTGTCTGGCATCCTGCAGGATCCAAAAGGTAATTTTTGAAGAGAGAGAAAGTATTTCCCATTTGCATCTAGCTGTTTCTTGTGGAGAAGTATCTCCCCAGCTCCCACCAGGATGACCAGAATGTTTTTCTTACTAGTCTGCAGTTACTGCATTCCCCTTCCTTATTACTCCGATAGAAAAAGGCATTATTTTCACTAGGAAGGTCTTAAGGAGGACATCAAAAGGTGTCTCTGCCCTCAGCTCTGAAGCATAATCTGATACTGTCACTGTTTTGTCATCCATTTGGCCTATGATCCTTCACTATCCTTTTCCCAAAGTTTTTCAGAATAACTCCCTGTGCCTAAGTCACTGAGATGAGTACTGGGTGCAGATGTTTTTGCTGATAAGTACTTATGTTGCTTCTTAGGTACTTTATAATGTGTGGTATTCTCTTCTGGCAGGAACAGAAATCTGTTTTGTGTTCGTAAGCAAGCAACAAGCTATTCAAAAGCACATATATGAGTTTGTGGGTTTGCAGGTGCACACCCAAAGGAGTTATAGTTCCAGATGATTTTTTCTGATTTGGAAGAGAAACTTCAGACTATATAGGAACAGAATGGAACTAGTTTGCACAAACGTTGCAATAGAATAAGGTTTCTTAAGGAAGAATTTGATTATATATGTCTTTTTTTTTCATGGTGGTGTATCACATGTAGAAGCTGCTCTCCAAACCTGACACAAACCTGGTGAGCCTGTCCAAAGTGACAAATAGTTTCTGTCCCTGGAAAATGTGCAGTTAGAATAAATCAGGTGGAAAGGAGTTACAGAAATTAATGTTTCTCTTCTGCAAAAGCCCCTGTTTCAGTACCCAAGGAAAGGAAAACCTAACTTGTTAAAATCAAAAATTGGTGAAACTGAGTGAAACACCACAGAAGGACACAAAACCCACCCTGCACACTGTAGGCACAGATTTACCAGGAGAATGAAATTTCCTGTAACCCCCTCTTATTAGAGCCTCCTAATCACAGCATGTACACTTGTCATCATATGATATGGATATAGGGATACAGCCCTGAATCCACCATATTCATATGCCAGGTGCCAGAACAGAGGCGAGGGACACTCTGTGGTGTACACTTGGTTCCTCTGCTTCATTTCACAGTAACTGAGGACAGACTACCTACCTGATTAAAAATGTAGAAATAATTGGCAGTTGTAAAACACTGCTGCTTGACTTGCATGTTGTCACTGCAACACCACTAAAATAACCCAAATCTTACAAAAACAGCTACCCAGATTGCCATTGGCCACTTGGGCTGGCATGCAGTTGTCACACCATCTTTATGGACAGGGCTTAGTGAATGTGATGGTTAAACTCAGATCTGCTGCTTCAAAAGCACTGAGTTCTTTCTCTCCAGTGAAGGGCAAACCTCTAATTAGTTGCATTTCGAGTAATTTTTTGAGTAATTTATAGTACTAATCCAATTCAAAATGAATGTGTGGTAGGAAGATATTCTACTTACAATTCAGTAGAGGGCAGTGGTGCAAATACAGATTCGTACTTGATTTATTTCAGTACACAGTTTTACTCCATAGGCAGATTCTGAAGGATTATCTTATTCATACGTTTCACAAGTTGTCTTCTTTACACATTGCTTTTCAGTGGAGGCTTTTTGTCAAGCACAGCAAACATGTCTCCTGTTAGTCAAATAAGATGTAAGCAGAATATACGTAAGTCTAAAGTGATGCTTTCATACCAAGTCAAGGTTTCCATGTTTTCATGTGTTTCCCTTTAATTCACCATTTGCATATTTTTACTATTCAAAATAACTGTAAAAGCAGAATGCATAATAGAGCAACTAGTTAATGTCATTTTAGGCCATTAATCTTTTCTCTGGGAAGAGCCATCAGCAAAGTAGTAAGCATGATGGAGTCTTTGGCAAAGAGCAACACCAGCTGGTTGGTAGCCAGCTGTGCTCAACATGTTGCAGCTGTGGCCAATATCTATATCCAGCCAAAGAGATAGAAAATGACATGGATAGCTGAATATCAAATGGGCATTGATGAACTGAGATGAAATACCTCGGGTGAATTCAACGCTATAGAGAGTGGCATTCAGGAAGACCGTATGTGTATGCATCTTAGGATGCTTTCCTTAAAGCAGATTTAGGTTTACTTCTGCTTCCTTGTAGCTGATGGAGCTTCTATCTTTTTTATTATATATATTTTTTTCACTCACTCTCCTAAGCTTGAGCATTTTAGCATATTTACTTTCACTACTCTTCTTTCCTCTGTTGTATTTCAGATGTGCCTGTCACCTAAATATTTTAGCAACAAGATCATGACAGTAAATACCTTCAAATCTTACAGAAAATGATGCCAATCAGTCATGGAAATTAAATTGCAGGCAGAGGGGTAAATCATCTAGTGTTTATTAGGGAGAGATCTTTTTAGCATCTGTACTTTTGTATGCAGACCGTCTTCCACTGGGTGCTTAGGGATGGTTGAGACAATCTTTTAAGAAGTAAAGGCAGGTGTGGAAAGAATGGAATAATATGAACCAGAAGACCTTGTACCAAGAGATTTTTTCCTTATCCAGCTGTTCTTGGTCAGCTGTTTATATGTTTAGAAGAGGCTATCTATATAGCTTGTCTTAATACCTTTGAGTTAACTCCTTCCATATGACTATCAGCCCTCTCATCTTCTGCTCAGTGTACAGAGCAGCCCTTGATTCTCAATTCTTCAGAGCACCTTTGTTCATTTAAAATGGATCCTGGCTTTTATGTCCAGGTTCATATCTGCTGGTCAGTTCTTGCCTCAAATTAACACAGGAACCCCCTTTGCTTTGTGCTTTCACAGTATCTCTGGATACTAATGGCAACTTGAATTTAGTATGTGTCATTAAAAGGTCTCAAGAAATACCTGCTGGACCCTCTTAGTCAGTGATTATGCTCTTTTCAGTGCTAAGCAAGCAAGCTTTGGAGGTCTCAAGTGAAGTAACCAAGATTATGCAGGGCGAGTGGCACAATTTAAAGTAATCTACATTTGCCCTGACTTCTGATTCACTTTTGTAATGCCAGTTCAAGTTGCTTCCTACCAATCAATGTGCATAATTCGTTCCTTAGTTGTTTATTGATTTACTCAATGAATTGAGGTGTAACAGTCATTAGTTGAGATCCTTACACGGTATCTATAAAATTATCTAGATTCTTAGCTGGTACATACTGGCACAGTTGAATCACATTCAATTAGTCTAAACCAATTTACACCAGAGATTTAAAAATTCAATAAAGGTATGGGAAAATGACTTTCTGAGTGATAATTCTGCTTCTTGGTGCACATGGTTCTTTCACAGTCCTGATTCTGACAAAATGTTAAGAGAAGCCAAATTATTTTTTGTTTTGTTCCATTTTTAAATTGGAATCTCTTTTTTTTTTTTCCCCCTTCACAAATTGTCTGTTATTATTATTCATTATGTGTCCTTTGATGAAAAATGGTACATGAAGAATGGTTTCTGTTACTGAATTATTTTTGCACATCATGCTTAATTCTGCAAATGAAGCAGATAAAGTCAATGAGGCTCAGTTAAGGACCAAAACTAATTCTGAAAGCTAATTATTTTCACAAGGGAGACTCTTGAAGACTATAAATTAGGAGGTTGCTATTCTAAGAAGTTTAGTCTTCAGCTGAGTTAGTTGCATCTCCAGGAGTGAATAAGGAACAGGGACAGGCCTGAGGCCAACCTGCTCCCCAGTTGAAGGTCTAGCTGTTCAATTGGAGCTGCATAGCTATTTTTTAAACAGGCCAAAGTATTTTGACATTTCCTTATTGGCTTTTTAAACAAAAATGCATCCATAGTTCTGCTTTGAATGCAGAAATAAAGGGAGGCACAAGACCCAAAATGTTTCCCATCAAAACCTTTTCATTACCTCAGTGATCAGGCTTTGATCAAAGATAAGGCTTTGTGTGGAGATTTACCTCAGAGACACTTTATTTATGTTGTAAACAAACTAAATGCCACAGAACCACCCCTGGTTAAAGTCTGATAACTGAGTTAGAAATAGACGTGACAGAACAAGAAAAGCTGAAGAGCCACTTCCCCAGTCTCAAAGTGAGTGCCACGAGTGATCTGCAGTTCACAGATCCCCTGAGGACCATGTGAGGATCAGAAACATTGTCAGGTCCAACTCCGGAGAGCAGTGTACAATCCCAATGGCCTTCTAGCTGTGTGTAACCTGCTTGTTGACTTCAAATAGTTGACTTTTGTAAACCATTGTGTATGGTTTCTATTTCAGATATTTTTAGAAGTGCAGAAATGCATTTTTCTCCCTCTCTACTTTCTATATGTCTATTTTGAAGAAAATCTGACTTTCCACATAAAGACAAATGAAAATGTTGAAAATATTGTACCACGCAAGCTAACATTTTAAAAACATCTGAATGCATCTGTTCTTCCCTCAGAAGTGTGTGTCAGGAACATCCATAGCTGCCTAAGGAAGGCAGATATCTGATTCTCGCAAGAACTTCTGGCACTTTTGAAAGTCTCAGTGTGTTACTCATTTTTTGACTTGTTCAGATTCCATAAAGACTCAGACAAAAAAGCTGCACCCAAAAAGCCACTGAGAGAGCATATAATTAATTGAGCCAAGGAAATATGCTGTATACTCTCAGCAGCATGAGCAATTGCTTCCTTTTTTGACACTTTGCAGATAGTCTTAGAACAGTGATGGCTATTTCAGGCTTCTGATGAGATACTGATGGTTTCAGGCAGAAATAATTTTATTCTGAGTTGCATTTGTATAGGGTATAGTACAATGAAGTCCTCATTCATGATGAGGTAACAATGTAATACAGTAATAATAAACTTCAGTTGTGATTGTTTCTCTCTGCCTTTCTTCCTTTGTCTTGCTACCACTCTTATTGCCTCTCCCCCTCCTATTATTCTTTTTCATCAGCTCGCCAGACAAGGATGTTGGTTGAGCTTTCTCTCACATAGTCCACTCCCCTGCTGGGAGGTTGCCACAGCACCTCTCGGCTGTAATGTGAACATTACAGCTTAGTAATTACATGACTGTAAAGCATTAATATAAACAGTGCTATTGTTTTGCCCTTTTCACTCTGCACCCCAGGAGTCCTCTAGCAGGCCAGGTCAGTATTCCTTCATGTCACTGGTGCCCAACAAAGTCTCTGGTCCTTTCTCATGCTGACTTTCTCAAGCTTCTCCTATTCTTCCATTTCCTGTCCAAATCCTTGATGAAACCATACTCCCGTACTAGATAGCAACATTTGCTAGCTGCATTCTCAGTTATACATTACAATAAGCCTCTTTTTGTCTAGAAGGTATCATGTATGGTTACTTCTGCTACTATTCCTCTGACCATTTTGCGTAGCTATCACAATGTTCTGAAGAGGAATGGCACAATGTGGTTGTCTTTTTTCTTCAGTTTACTGTCTTGTGGTGGCTTTTTTTCAGAGGCTCAGTTCCCCCAGCAGCCTCAGGACCTCAGAGCACAAAGGAACATAATTCTTGCAGGGGTATAGAGGTCATGTTTGGGACTGGAAATAGCCAGATTATTTTTCCCTTTAATTTCCACAAGCCATTAGTGTACCTGGGTTATGGCATGTTGATCTGCATCTGTTGCTCCAGTTTTAGAGAAGAAGCACTCATTATATTCATCAATCTTGGTTATTAATATGCTAAAATTCTTAAAGAGGGATATAAATTGTTTCCCAGGCTTTCTTCATGTACTGCTCATCTTTGTGTCACCGTCCCTGCTGCTCTGAGCTCAGCAGATGGCTCTTTGTAAGCAGGTGGTATTTTTTTCTCGCTATTGGAAGAAATATATTTACTGCTTATTCTGGCACCCGTAAAAGAATTGTAAACTTTAAAGAGATATATTAAAAAATACAAATAAAATGCCTGTAAGAGTTATTGCCAAATTGATATTGTACCAAAGGCACCTATTCAAGTGATCAGCAGCCAGAAATGAAGTGTATAAGCCAAGAGTATTGAAAGAGCCATTAAGAATGTTAAAAAAAAAATAAAAAGGGCAGATAAATCTCATACTGTGATGAATGATAGCCAAAGAACATCTAATCATATCTGGGTAGCATTTACTGAAATAACTCAACCAGACAAAAATGAAGAACATGAAAAAGATGGTGCAAAAAATTATTGGAATGTTCTTTTTTCTGACAATTTTTCATTAATCTTCAAGAGGGAATAAGGATTTATTTAAAACAAATTAAATTAAGTGATGAGCACTAGAATATGGTTCCTCTTGATCCTGGTATGGCTATAAGAACATGTTGTCAGCAACTGCATAATAAGGACTATGGGGTGTCAGTGGTTTTTTTTGCAGCTTTCCCATCACTTTTCCCTAATAAAGCAACATGCAGAGCAGTGGCTATGTTCAACGGGAAAATTGTTCACTGCTCTAAGAAAATATGAAATACACGAAACATCTAACAAATGAACATACAAAAGACACACAACAAACTGCTAACACCATGACTATAGGCTTCCATTCCTTGATTCATTTATCTGGATTTTTTGCTTTTAATGGCAACATGCCTGGAACTTCTTGGATATAATTAAAAGTGAAATGGAGATAGTGACTCTGTGCACAGTGTGGCAAACTGACTTAAAAAAATGAATGTTTACCGACAGATTGGACCAAAATTGGTTTTCTCCCAGTGCAAATACAGATTTCATAGGGTCTTATCTCAGCAAATGCTCATCTTTTCTGTTGTGTTCTTTAAGGAGGAGTAGCCTGCTTCCTTTCTGCTAGCACTTTTGTCATCAGAGTTCTGGCAAAATAATCTAGTGGTGTTCTTCAAGGAGAAGTAGCCTGCTTCCTTTCTGCTAGCACTTTTGTCATCAGAGTTCTGGCAAAATAATCTAGTGATCTAAAAGCTCTGTGGAACGTCTCTCCCATGAAAGAGAGAATGTAAGAGCATGTTCTCTCTGTGTGTGACCCGTAAGAACAGATGGAACATGGATTTTGTTTAAGCTGCACTGTGTAGTCAGTAAATGCTTTCAGATTTGAGCTGGGTTTGGTACATACTTAAGGATTAGGGAGCAGCTGGCTTGAACTCAGAGCTTCATGAAATGAAATTTGGTTTTAGGACTTGAAATTAAAGTGCAAGCTGGGGTAAGGACTTTTTGATTCAGGTGTATCATGAGTTCTGAACATGCTCTAAGATCATGGAGCTGGCCATTCAACAAGCAAAAAGTTACTTGTTATGAATGAATGAGTGTTATCAATTGAAATGCTTCTCTTTGCTTGAATAGTAAACATAATTCACAGACGTGCTGTTGCTGGCTGGTCCTGCAGATACTTATACTTGGGGGTATAATGTTCCTTTGGGACTCAAATCCCTTTTGTTGCTGAGTTGTTCTTCCAGAGGTGTGACAGGGCAGCTTGTCGCTATCAGTCATTGCTAACTGTACACACAAACCACTCTAGACATAGTGCTGGCAGATGTTCAGCTTTCACGAACTCCATCCATGTTTATAAGGTGATAGGAAATTGTGCTCAGAAAGTCTGGTGCTCCTGCAAAATCTTTGGCTTGTGTTCAGCTTCAGTTCCTACCACCTATTGGCAATCTAAACCAATGATCAAGAAACAAATGCATTTCTTATTTTCTCCCTTTTCCCAGATTTCAGAAAGACTGATCCAGAAACTGAACCAAAACCTGGTCCATTTTGAGTTGAAGCCAGGAGTTCGAATCCTTGTCCATGCTGCCCATTTATCAACAGGTCAGTATCCTCTTTCTGTGTACACCCTCTGTTGCTTGTAGTACAGCCAGCAACATATTCCTTGATGGTAGTAGTGTGCTATCAGCTGTATTTTAAACATTTCTTATTTTTATGTTGCAGTAACAACTCAGTGTATGGGCAGACATGAAAATGCCTGCTCTACCTCCCCTTTCTTTATCATGCCAAAAAATTATAGTGGCTTTTGCATTTACAACTAATCCTTTTGTTTACTTATGTGCAAGAATTTGCTGCTGTTGATGGAAATGCAGTATAAGTATCAGTAGAAATGTGTAATTCTTGGCTGTCTCTGAAATATGTAACAGCTGAGCAGCACCATGGCATATTCAGCCTGGATCACACAGTGCAAAGGTTACCAGCTAGCCTTGGATTTATTCAAATATTCTAGACTCAGCAAACATTCAAAGCAACTAAGCATATTTCAGGAGTTGTTCAGCAATCTGAAAGACTAGAATCAATTTACATATTGCACAAACATAAGATTAGGCAGTCTGGACTTTAACTAACCCTACATCAAAATGAACCACCTCCAAAGTCCTGATATTTAATTACATGAGTCTCTGTCTATTCTGTATGCTAAACCCTCATTTAACGGCACAGGCCTTATTTAACAAGAGATAGGATTTATTACAAGAAATGGGAGGGTGGTGAGGCACTGGAACAGGTTGCCCAGAGAAGATGTGGATGTCCATCCCTGGCAGTGTTCAAGGCCAGGTTGGATGGGGCTTGGAGCAACCTAGTCTAGTGGAAAGTGCCCCTGCCAATGGTAAGGGGGGTTGGAACTAGATGATCCTTAAGGTTCCTTCCAGCCCAAGCTGTTCTATGATTCTAACAAGTCCATTCCCAGGAATTCCTTTTCTCCAGGAGCCGTTGATAATTCTAACCAGTTGGTATCATCTTTTTTTCCTAACTTGCAAACTAAAAGCCTTAGTTCCCTTGTACTGGCAAAATGGCTTTTTATGGTGTGAACAGGTCTGCCCAAGCTGGTGTCAGTCCATGTGAATTTTCAACAATAACCAGTGATTCTATATGTCCTTTTAGAAAATGCTCAGTACATATCTCATAAAGGAAACATATCTAAAAGCATCTTAATGCGAGCTTCAAATGCAGTTACTTGCAGAGGGTGCTCAGCTCAGGCATGCTCTTTGTGCTAATGAGAAATGCACATTTTTGTTTGTATTTACACACGCACCAGGAATGAGTACATTTTGTCCATAATAGATGCAAAACTCATTTGTGTAGGTGGGCTTTGTTATACTTCTTTTCAAAGTCACTGGTGAGATGTGAGTGATTGCTGTAACTAGCTTCACAATGTCATATAAGAACACTACAGGATTTTGTCTCTTGCAGAAATATGATTCAGTAAGAATGCAAAATGGGTCTGAGCTGCCAAACTAGATACTAAAAAGCCCAGAGAGCAGCTACTGTAAGGTCTTTGAGGGAATATGGGTCCTTATCAAGCTACAGAGGTCATGACTCAGTTCCCAGACTAAATAAAAGGCCCAATTTCACAACATCAAAACTTAGGAATAATTTAGAATTTGACAAAACACCGAAAGGAAGATTTACATCGCCACTGAAAACTATTGTTTTGGTTGACAAGGAAGAAGAAGAATTGTTCTTTTGAAATCTAATTTTATAAACAATTAAATAAAATAAAGCAGGGAAACCTGGAACACAAGCCAGTACCAGAAGCAGTCTCTTAAAAACGTAATCCAGGGGGATTCATGTGACACAGAGGTTCTGCTCTGGTCCATGGTATCCCTTCTTTCCCAGCCTTTCCACTGTGACTCTACATAGAACTCTAGGCAGCCATGGGCCGAAGTTGACTAAACCACAAAGCTCAGCATGTGTTTTTGTAAGTGCACATGTATGTATACGTATACCTACATGCACGTTCCTATGCCTCAGCACACATGTATGTTCATCTCTGCATGTGTGTCTGGTCACACAGAGCAGCAATTTCTGCAGCAGAGGTGCTGAAGGGAACAAATGTGCAAGTGTCTAAACTAGCTTGGTGTGGATATTCAAGCAGAACCTGTAGAAATGAAACTCTATGTGGTGTGTGTTATATGTGAGCATGTGCATTCCCTGGAGCACAAAAGAATGACAGGCATTGGCCTCAGCACATTTCACACCTCTGTCATCTTTGTTTAGGCCACACTGAAGGGTGGATTAAATTTACAGCAGTTGTGGACAATAGATTGCAATCCATTCATCATGTTCATTCCTTCTTATGAAAAAATCCCAAACAGCAATGTCCCCAACTCAACAGACAACAACCTCAATTTTAAGGCAGAGTAAAATATGCTAATATTCCTCACAAAGCAGTTAAATGGCTGTTTATTACCAGACTCTCAGTACAGCATCATAACAAGAACATTGAATGATGCCGAGTCTGAGTTAGTCAGAGAGCCACTTTGTCATCCCAGAGAACTGCAGAGACCCACAAAATACAGACGCAAAGGGGGATAGAGTGAAGATATGTGAGGAATTCCTGTTAATGGATCATTTAATCCTGGTTCCTCACCTTCCTGAGGATAGCGTGCTTGATGTGAGAAGGAGGAGTTTTTTCACTTCCCTTTGTAAATTTTGGCTTTATCAGGCTGGGTGTGACAGCCAAAAATGTGTGTGAATGTGATGTCTGTGCCTGAGTATTGCTTGTTGTGTGTGTGTTTTCTTGTGTCTTCTGGCTCTGGTTTAGGATGGGTGTGTTCAGTGCATGTGAAGAAGGGGAAAGAAAGAGGATGTGTACGACATGTATGGTTCAAGTTAACTTTCACTGCCTTGCAGAGGAAGGCACTACCTACCCCTTGTTTGTGTGATGCCAAATAGAGACAGTCAGTGAGGCTGTATCTGCTGTATTTGCCCTGTATAACATCACAGCTACAGCTGCATATCTAACTACAGTCTGTGTTATTACTGTCTGCATGAACAACTGAGCCTACTGGACTTATATGTGTCCTTTTTGGATGCTAGATGCCTTTCTGTTTGTTTGTGTGTGTATGAATGCTAGAAACTCTCTCTTTTAAAACAATTTACTTTGTATTTCTGGGAAGACCATGCTCGTGGCTGTCTTGTGTGGCCTTATTTTGCAAGCAGCTATGAAAAGATGGTGAGCAAAACTGAGGAGAAGCAGAGACAGATTTTTGTTTGATTAGGGTTGGATCTGAGGGTGTTTTTTTAACTTGAAACTCTGCACGCTCTTGCATGGAAGACTTGTGGGAGAGAGGGCTGAGTAGAACATGCTCAGAAGAATAGGAAAGAGGTAAAGGAAGAAACTTAAAATGTCAGAGGTGTGAGAAGAGCTTCCCATGCTAAGGCATGGGTGCTGAGGTAGTGTCTGTGAAGGGCACTGCGCTTCTGGTTGGGAAGGAGCAGGAGTGAGCGGAGAACAATACATTTGGCGAACATTGTTGCTTCAGTACAATTGAGGAGCCACTTGCTCATTATTCACTATCCTTTGGGAGCTACTCAAACTAGCTCTAAGCAAAACAGAAAGTCAACGTGACAAGTTAGCCCACGGGTAGCTCTAGGATTGTCCAGAAAATGCTAGTTTTGGTGCCCAAATGACCTCATTTGCAACTACCTTGGGTGATTGTCTGCAATATGAGAGAGTATGTTTCAGGCAGTCCTCTCAGGCCAGAGGAGAGAGGCCTCTAAAGGGAAAGCCATGGGACTTCACATCAAAGGGGTAGGTTGAGCACTGCAAGTGGTCTGAACCCAAGGTTTCTTCCCAGGTAGATTAGAAAGGGAGAAAAGGAGCCCTGGAGACATGTAGACAGATGGGGGCTGCTATAAGTGCAGTAAGGGGAAGATGAGCTATATTTCTGGAGAGAGAAACTTTTGCTCAAGGCTGGGGGTGGCTCTAACCTTCTCTCCCTCTCTTGCAGCTCCCCTGGTGGACCTCACTCCCAGTCACAGTGGTTCAGCTATGCTGATGCTCCTCTCTGTCGTTTTTGTGGGACTAGCTGTCTTTGTAATCTACAAGTTCAAAAGGTATGACCCTCCTTGAGTCGTTTCCTTCTCCCCATTGCTGCCTTTCACTGACGTGTTCGGGTTTTGTTTTGTTGGGGTTTCTTTTTTGCAGTGATTTGTTTCTTGGTTTGTAAAAGCTGATACTACATCATATGCCAGAGTACCCCACAATGATGGTTTCTGTTAATGTTTTAGGAAGATTCCTGGCCTTAATATATATGCACAGATGCAGAATGAAAAAGATCAAGAAATGGTCAGTCCAGTCAGTCAGAGGGAAAGCATACCTAATATCCCTCAAAGTGAGCTGATGAGCCCTGAGCAACTAGTAGATGAGAAGTTGGAAGTCCAGCCCATAGGTAAATAACTTGCAGCATCCCGCAGCTGGTCAGACTCTGACTTATAATTGGCTAACCCTTTTCTCAGCCTCCCTCCTTCCCCTATTCCTGCACACTCCTTCCCCTATCCTCTTCTGCTGCAACACTAGTTTTGCTATAGGAAACTTTGCTAACTCTTCCCTTTCCTTCACTGCCATGTGATGAAAGGGAGGGGAACAACTTAAGGCTTTTTCTCTCTCCTAGTTGCTCTATGTAGATCCCTTTCCCTTCTCAAAAATCCTGCCAGCACTTAACTTGCGCTATAAGGCAATTTAATTTATTTTGCTGGGGCTGATGTAGTTGCGGGGCTAAACCCCACATCCGGGAGGACTTCAGCCACCCCCACCTGGAACGTGGAGGTGAGCAGGTGATTTGGTAAGTCACATCTAAAATCTAAACATTCGCTGATGTTTTGACTGCTCTGGCCTTTATGCTGTGCCAGACCTTGTAGCCAGGAGCAATGCTAGTCTGGTTGACTCCCAGGGAAATCAAGCAAAACCTGGGATCTCAGCATTGGACAGTTGGGTTTGCCCTCGGGCTGGTATCTCCTACGGGCCTCTGTGGTTGAAAATTTACAAAGCAGGCTTTCACAGGACCTAAAGTGAATAGACTTCAAGTGGGCATACTAGCATCAGTAACACGTTCACTCATGCATATGTGTTTTCTGTTACCCTAACTACAGTAAAAGTGTTGTCATGGAGCCAGGGGGGTTTCAGCCTGGGTACATGTTCTGCTAAAGCTGGCATTGCTTAGGCATGACTGAGACATTTCTCAATTTTACCTGTGGGGTGGCAATTCTGCAAGCCCAGACTAGAAGTACAGTACAGGACCCCTGCAAATAAGGACATGGACCTACTTTAGAGGAATTAAAGTTTATAGCTGTCTTGACTTACACAGGAGTGAGGCATAGTTGTAACTGAGAACTGTTATTTGCACAATTGCATCAGCCTAACCAAACCTTAGATTCTACCTAAGGATGTCCCTAAAATATATGGGAGTATTCACTAAAGCAGGTGTAGAGTCATAGCTACTACTGAGAGGGAGCAAGGGGAAGGGCAATTGAAGGAGGGAATGTGATATGCTAAGATTGTGGCCTGTGAAACAACCTGGGAAGAAAAAGAAGTCTCTTGATGAAACTAATGTCTAAGTTGGAAGCCCCACTGCAATCAATACTGATCTCACCTGCTCACTGAGGAGAGATCAGATAGCTATTAAAAGCTTTTAAGCAGCTATTCATCAGCAGACCTGGATATTCCTGCTTAGCAGAATACAGGATGGAGTGAGGGGACCAACCTTCCCATGTGGTGTTCCCCATACAGAGCAACCTCAGGCCACAGTCCAGAACCCAAGGAAAGGAAATGCAACCAAGGTAGTCTGGACAGAGGACTTCCAAAAGGCTTGTGGATCACCAAGAGGTTTCAAGCCAAGACCCGGAGCGGTGGGTCCTAAACTTTAACGATTCTTTTTTGTTTGTTTGTTTGGATTTTTTAATTTCCCCCCCCCCCCAGAAGGCAAAATTAGAGATAAGGGAGAAACACCCAATTTCAGTTTAGGAACCCTCTTTCTAGAATTAGATGGGCTTTGAGCTTCCCCTTTCTAAAAGAATGTAATGACCATGGTTCATGCTGTTCCAGGGGTAGGGAAACATGTTTTCATAGGTCACTGGGACAGAAGTGACAGGAGTCAGTCACCTGCTAGATCTACTAGAGGTACCTTCAAAACTACTCTTGCTGGTGTTGGAAGCCAAACCCTTGAAGCCTTTTTGGGGGTAGGTTTTCACTTGGTGTAACTAGCATTTCTGGCTTCCTACAATCGTCAGCATTTTGTGTGTATCTCAGCGATGATACTGGACACTATTGAATCAGAAATTAGACTTTTATAACTCCTTGGTTTGTGCCTGTAACTGCAAAAGTTAAATGTGTGGGATAAATGGACTCAATTCTCTACCAAAAGGAATCAGTCCAACAATCAGAGCTCACGGACAAAATGAAAAGGTCTGGACCTAGGTATGAACAGAATAGGAAGTGCAAAGGCTCTTCACTCTCCTCCTATACAACCACCTCATCTGTTTCTGGAAAACAGCAGCTTCTTTTTAAATGAGTTTTCTTTCTTTCGGGAAAACAAAGCAAGACTGTAATTGGGTGTTTCTCTTTTGTATGATTGTTCAGAAGCCAGGTTTTTTGAACCCCTTTGACTAACATTCAGGGATCCTTCTTTGGAGGAATCTGAATGAAAGTCCCTGGATCATTTAATTTTCTCTCCAACCTCTGGCAGCAAAAAAAAAACATGGTTCCTATTTTCTAGATGTGAGTGGTTTAGGCTCTTCTTTTGCAAATGAAAAGCTTAAGGTTATTTGTGAAGTCTCCAATACCTTATAATTGCAAATGAGTTTCCTCTGAGGACCACAACCCCTCCTTCCTTCCACCCCTCTGCTCTGGCCTCTCCCTCTTCTATTCAACATGGGTGAATCATCTTCATTAGCAAAAGAACAGGACATCACCTTAGGTGTTTTGAATGACAAGAAAACATTTCTGGGAAGAGTGTGTCAGTCTGGAACAGTTGAATCCCAAAGGCAAGCAAGGTGATGCCTCCTAACACCTTCCTTGGCTAAATGCACTTGTTATTTACTGACTCTTTTATTTTGTTCTTTTCTTTTTTTTTCTTTTTTTTTCTTTTTTTTATGCCACAGGAAGTATTTCCACAGCTGCTGAGCCCCAGAGCACAAAAGAAATCCCTACCTATGTAAATGGTTGAATTGAGGACACCGATATATATCTATATCTTAAAAAAATAGGAGATCTCACTGCATTTGGACTTTTTAATTCTTCAGACAACAAAGGGTTTTTAGCTTTAAGCCTGTGCATGTGGACATTATACTGAGACCATAGTGGAACTGCATTGTACAGGTGTTCAATTTTAGTGGGGTGGGTGGGGGGAGAGGATCTGGTACCACTATTCACTTCTGCGGCCCTTCCCGTCACCCCTCCACTCTCTTTTTTCAGATCAGTCTCTAATTTGTAGAAAATTCATAACGATATAGCCAAGAATATGCATGGGGGTCTCTTCTTTAGGGAGAGGGGTGGGCTGGTTGGGAGGGGACGTTTAGAGTTCTTGGCTTTAGATTTAACTGCTCTTTTAGCACTTTGGGCTGCGGGAGGGCTAGCCGCCTCAGCAGACTTTCATAGGACACACAAAAAAAGTCACACTGGAGTTTCAAGGCACTGAAAGTATTCTTGGTCAGTCTGGTTTATGTCTTTGTTTGAACTCTGCCCTTCGTTCCTGTAGCTGCAGCTGCTGCCTGTGCCCCATGGCTGCGAGGAGGCTGAGTGTAATTATGGGTGATCCCAGCCACAAGGCCAGGCTCTTTCTTAGACAGCTTTTTTAGCCTACTCTCACCAAGGCATTCCACTGATAGCACTGTTGAAAGATAACTTTTTGCCTCCTAACCTTGAATGGTACAGAACTAGTGTGCTTTACAGGCAGGGAGGTCTGTCCATACTGCAGTTGCAGAAGGTTATTGCCAGCATGAACTTACACTGTACCTTGTACCAGCCTTACACCTTTAATTCTGGCTAAGAGAAAGCCCTAGTAACACCCTCAGCTGCATTTGGTGCTGATGCTTGGATTTGTCTGGGGAAGCCCCAGGAGATTTTGCCTTTGGGAGTCAACGGAAGGCTTGTCAGTTTTTGGAAAGACACTTTGCCCATAGAATAGTGAGCAGGAAAAGGTTTATACACAGTTTCCTATGGCCTTCTCAGCAACCCATCCTGGTTGGAGATCTGGACAAACTCCTGCCACTCTGGGCACAGGAGGGATAATAAAGGAGGATTTGGCCTGAGATTGTTGCCATGTATGTTGAGCCTCAGCTCCACAGGACTACTCTTGTACAAGATTTGATTTCTTACCAATAAGCTTGTATCTTACACTGAAACTAGAAATTAGGCTGCAGGATATGTTCATGTAGGGTATGAAAGGGAACAGCAGGAAAACAAGTTTAGCATACCTCAAACAAGTCCTTCCAAGACACTGGCTATCTGAAGACTAACCTGTGGTCATTACAGCTGTTAATTTCCAACCCAACCCTAACCTAGCACCAGGACTTTTGTTCGAAGTGCAAAGAAAGAAAGACAGTAACCAATATAATCTTAACTGTGTTAGGTGAAAGCAAATAGAGACCAGTTCATATTTAGTGAGGCATATAAGGAGGCACTCTGATTCCTGACAGGAGTGGATTTTGGTCAGTAGACATTGTGGACAGCAAACTGAGTCAAAACCAGGAGAAAGCAGTGTTGCTGGTGTTGCCCAGGGCCCTGGGACAGGGGTTTCATGGTGGTAGAGGGTTTGAATTTCTTTGTCACAAATTGGGTATAAGCCCGAACTTGCTAGCAAATTAAAAAAGTGATACTAAGTGTGAGAGCATTAGACACATTGTAGTTAAAGGATAATCATTGAACAGGATCCTCTGCCTCTTTCTGTAGTTTCTCTGAAGATAGGTAGAGAAAGACAGCAGTTTGGCTTTGCTATTGTCTTTGCAACTACAGCTTTATGAAAGATGGGCAAGTATTGGCAGCAACTGTACAATAGTCCCCACTGAAGTCCAACATTAGCCAACTTATTTTTATAGTAAGCCTATCAAAAAGTTTTCTTATAGTGTTGGAACTATTTCTAATTTTAAAATTACTTTTTTTGATGTACTTTTTCATCTTCTTTTCCCCTTTCGTTAAATACAATGTAGCGTAATGTATAATTGCTATTGTTTATTGCTTTTACAGTCATATTTATTAAACAGATTATGTCTCTAAATGAAGGCTCATGTTTTTGTTGCTCATTTTAGCTCTTTGTCCTTGGCTTGGATGACTAACATTAAAACAGTAGGAAGGTGATAACTGCAAAAGGAGTGTTCAGTAGAAGTGGGAGAGGGTGGTGTTAGTGTTCTGAAAATACAGTTCCTAGAAGCAAGATGCCAATATGAAAGTAAATTTCTTGTCAA